CTTATTTGCGGGTATACGATGACCCATGAGGTTCAGAGACGAGCTAGATTACAAATTTTAATATTCTTAGCGCCCAGAAGGCACTGCCGGTAACATTACTAAAGTTGTCTTTAGTTCTAGGTGAGGGCGGATTTAGTCTTCAAAACATGTTGCTCTTGCGGTACGGTTCGTGAGCTTTCGCAGGTGGTCAAGCAAAAAAACATTGGCATCGGGAAGCTCTCGGCCTGAGTGATATAGACAGAGTCGCGGACGTTATTGGTGGGCTTACGAGAGAGTCAAAATCTACTGACATGAAATTTACTGGTCACGAGGCAGAAATCGTATATGGATAAATTTAATGAGGGTAGAAGCTGAAGGGAATAACTTTCCATACGTGGCATACACCACTTCCTCGACATATTTTTCAAATAGAGAATATTGTTTCATTATATTTCGCTCAAGACTAGCCTCCGGGATTCATCTTTTTGCTTTGCGCTTTGCTTAGCAATTACACTACTGTCCACCCTCAGTCGTAGCTTTTACTCGAAGTTTAACTCGGTTCTTTGGGTTTTTATATCCCTTCATTCGAGCGCTGTGTCCTTGTCACAGTAATCTATGTGCCGCTTGTTACCCGTCTTTTGACTGCTCTAGGTAGTTCTTCCGCTTCAGTTTAAGTGTAGAAATCTCAGTATTTAGGCATGCATTAGTATACATAAAATTTTAACAGGTGTGCAACCATATACTTAGGAGTTTTTAACTTTACCAAATGATACGGTTGTAACACCGTCTCCCCACCGTCCATATTCAATGGCCTTGAATTTGTCCTTCAGTCTGATAGGGTTTGCGGAGTTTGTCTATTGACGCCTAACTCGTGGTGATGGCTTCAACACGGCATAAGACGGAAAATACATTTCATGTAATCCTTTAGCATGGTAGTTTTATCATCTTCGCTAGTTTTTGACCTATAAGGAACAAATAAAGCAAAAAGTTCGACTATCCTGCAGACGCCCACTTGTGGATGTGGATGTACGTAAAAAAATATTAATTTACTCCGTCGAAGGATGATTTAGACAGTTTTTTTGCCAGTACACTGGATAACTGGACATTTATTAACAAAAGCGATACATTTTGTAACTTCTTTATTTTATCTTATAATACTTAAGCTGAATTTCGCAGATCAGTTGCTCCTTTTGTTCTTAATCTGAAGCTTATCCTTCTGCACAAGGTGAGAATTTTCTTTATGACTAGCAAAATAGGATGAAGTCGTATCGAACCTGCGCCACTTTATGCAAGAATGTGATGAAAATTCCTGTGGGCCTATACTCGAGTATGTCTATGTTAAACGTCTCACTTCTTCAGTTTGATTAGCGCGTTGTCATGTGACCTGCGCGAGGATTTCTTTCCTTTTTTTCCAACGTTCTTCTTGGAGATTCAGAAACTTATCACTAAGGATCAGCAAGATGCTGATATTCTCAATCACTGCTTTAACTGTCTATCCCACATGGTTTATTTTCTCCACCGCTGCATGCTGAAGGATCTAAAAGGCACCATTGAGTGAGTCGTCATTTTCTAGTGTTCATACACTCCTTTAGTCTCTTTATTCCGCTCCTTACAAACAAAAAGCAGCACCTCAGGACGTTTAGCGCTGGGTGCATTGCCTTCTTTCTTCACAAAATTCCTACTGCAAAATTCCTTCGATTGTTGTGGCAACTTCATAAATCGGACTCCTCTTTAACGAGTGATTACGGTGGAGACATATTAGCTGAAACGCTTCGCTCAATGGACGGGAAATTCCACTCTTGCTGTACGGAAGTAAGTGCAAGCTTGCCATTTTGCTCTGATAAACGATCGCAACACTTTTTGCGTGAAAAAAATAT